ATACATAAGTACGTATATAAACAAAGATAGGTATAAAATTAGCTGCAACTAAATAGATATCTCAAACATGAACGTCTAAATAATGAGCGTCACTAGGCGGCACTCGCTCACCAGGTATGATGCAGTTCTACAAAATGCTAGCTGATTGCTTTCATCAGGGCCTATTGTTTAAGCTGGCAGCTGTCCTACAGCCCGTACTATATTAACATAGGTTAGTACTAACTAGGTATCAGTATAGGACTCAGTATTTCGACGCTCTTTGTCAACCTGAGCCGCCATGTTAAATAGATTAGGGTTGCACCATATTCCGGCAATATTGCTGGCGAATATTAAATCAAACTCTGTATAGGATGACATTAACTTGAACAGTCTCCATGAAATTGAATTGGGTATCTTTATTACATATGAATATTAACTAGACTGCACGTAGAAAAATATTGCTACCGGTTTTTATTGAAACATGTAAACCTATTATACGAATGTAGAGTAAATTCTAGTTATTTATCCTAAGCTGATTACCGGTAATGCAAGATACGCATTATTAAGAGGCTTGTTAGAGGGATCAGGCATTCATAATTAGTTGAATAAAAGTTACGTCCGTGTTTTTTATTCGCTCATTTATACGTCACTGTGAATTGGATAGTTTCATAACGACTTTTTGAATAATTTAAATTATTTTACAAATTCTAAACAACTCTGAACAAAATATGAAATGACAATTCTGATATGGGCCAGATTTTTTCTAGATTACAAAATTTTATGTTTGGTTTTTGTAAACAAAATTCACAAAACTTTTAGTACGTAAATATTTAAAATAATAAATTGAAGACTCCAAAACTATTAGGTATTAGGTTTGTACTTATCTGAAATTTAGTTCTGCAACTATGAAATAGCTCGTTTATCCAAAGAGTGTTTCCAATTATGTGTTTTAATTGAAAATTATTGCGAAGCAAAATATTTTGAATAGGTAGACTAAACCGACGTGCACAGACTAGATATTCCCAGCCGAATAAAATTCCCACATATCCGCATCGGACAGAGTTAACCCGATTATCATATTTGCGCGCTGGCGATAAACACACTTGTAACGCTTGTACAAACAATACGCGTGAATCACTCCCGCGTAAACGAATCATCTACATCGATTTTTTTTTAATAACCCATATTATTTAAAAATAACGTCTCTAAATCTGGTGTTCTACATAATATTTGTTAGTTGGCTTGGCTTTGTATGTTTCAAATAAAAAATCATATGTTTTCAGTTTCTTTGTGAATCTGGGAGCCTATCATTTATGTTAAGGAAGAATTAAAAAAAATATGCAAATGTTATAGATAACTATGTCTTAAGCAAATAGATTCAAGACAGGAAACACCAACGCCAACGCACCAACGCAATATGACTATTTTGGTAATAAATTATCAAAATTTACTTATGCATATACATTATACATATATTTAACCCACACAAGACAATGATGGTACAATAATTTACATTTTAATAAATTAAATTAAAAATAAATAAATAAAATATTTAAAAAAATATATGTGATGTTTCTTTATTTTCCTTTACAATTTGTAGTAAATATCCACTTACACGACCACATCTTAAAAACCTCGGATAAACAACGATTAAACTATTGTTCTTCATAGGAAAGATTCAATGTGACAGTCCGCGGTACCGCATTGTTCGTATAAATCTAAAGCCATGAATTGCGAAAGCAATGCAAATATATGCAGATGGAATATCTCAAAGAACAAATGAGCGTAATGTGCTGTGGTAGAAAAGATAGTACCTAGTATCTACTACACTACCTATGCCCTGAGTTAGTGCCGGCGTAGCCGTCGCCCGTCATTCATAGTAGCGCGCCCGCCGTGAGCGCTCCTATCGCGCGATAACCCTATCGTTTAACGGATTTGCAGTGGATAGTGCATGTTATTTGACTTGCCATTATTATTTATAAAACCATAAATATCATTATATATTTCGTTTTTCCATATACGTTATTGCATGGATGTTGTAGATATTTAGATATGTGCAGTGCAATAAATGTAGGTATGTCAAAATGAACCTGTTAAACATTTAGTCTGGAGAGTTTATGAGCTACATCCACACTATTTGGAATTGACGTTTAACCGATACGAACGTGCAAAGTGCAAAGCTCTGTTAATGGCACTAGCAAGTGGTTGTTAATTAAAACGAGGTCGAAATTCATAATACACAAGGTAAATATCAAAGAATTTCTATTATTATTTTATGAACAAACAATTTGCATCGTTCAATAATATTGTTCCACGAGAATAATAGCCGCAACTAAAAAAATTTGATTTGATAGTAAATTTCATTTTCCGATAATAGTTCAATTTCTATTCAATATTTGCTGAAAAACCATCAGAATTAATGGGTACAATGCCTTTGTTAGACAGAACTAAATCATACCTTAAAAGAAGTTAAAATTAAACACAAGTTTACTACAAATGGTAAACTAAAATATACTATAATATTGTGGTACATATTTAATCCAAGGAGTCATTCATAATTTTGTAGATGACTCAATATAGACTCTCAGTCATCACGGATGATTGCTAGCGTTTGTTTATCATATAAAATAAACAGGTTATTATTAATTACGTGTGTTTCTAATTTGCCTTGCTAAATTAATCAAAGCATACTTACTCAATTTATATATTTATAGACAAAAAGCTAAAAAGTTATTTAAAAATTTTATTAAACTGAATTTAAAGGAAATCTATACTAATATTATAAAGAGGTAAAGTTTGTGAGGTTGTAGGGGGTAATCTCTGGATCTACTGAACCGATATAGATGAAATTTGGTGAGAAGATAGTTTGAGACCCAGGGAAGGACATAGGATACTTTATATCTGGGAAATCATCCCTTAAGGGGATGAAAATGAGGATGAAAGTTTGTATTAGGAAGCAAGTAAGGGACGAACCAGAGCAAAGTGAGGGTGAGTCGCTAGTATATGTATATGATAATTAATACACCTTTACTTGATATTACGAATGAAAAAACGTTATTAATAGATTACTATAGAGTTCAATTACTAGTGATTAACAGAAAGGAATACATAAACCCTACTGATATCATAATACGGGTACATCCGGCCTGAATATAAATATAATTCCTTGTTTTTAGTAATTCACATTATGATTAAACTGTGGATATTTTAATTTCCTTGGCTCCGTAATTTGAAGATGAATTCTTGAAGATATGTGTAGTTAGGTAGGTACTCAAATATCGAAAAAAATATTTTATTTTTTCACAGAATCAAAAGATTTTTTAGAAATAAAACTAAAAGTAAGAATAATTTTTTATTATAATAGATTATGGTCCGACTGGGATAACGTTGGTTAAGAAGGCTAAGGCAGGATATCAAAAAAAATGATTCTTATTTTTCGTTTTACATTTTAGAGATCTTAAAGAATTCAAATTATGGAGCCAAAGAAATCAAAATGTTACCATATAACTACCATAATATATTAAATTATAAGAAATACTGTAACCGCATGCGAAAAATATGTATGTACGATTGTGGCTATTAACTTTTATGTCTATATATATATATATATATATATATATATATATATATATATATATACCCGCATTTATCTTACATAACAAAATTAACATATCTTCCTATATACATTTTTAATTATGATTGTTAATAGTATTTTAGTTATATTTTAAGATTGAACTATAAAATTTAAATTTTAATTTAATAGATTTAAAATATTGTATGACTAAGAATCTTCAACATAATTTATATGTTATTTATGTATGATAAAAGGTGTTATCATTGACTTCTCTATGCTTGCGACTTTTCTCCTTCTGCGACTTTTTTTTAATGTAACATTGTTCCGCTTCTAAGTGACGCTTAGGGCTAATTAAAAAGCGAGTTAATAGAATAATATCACTTTAATTAATAAAATGCATAAAAATCAATTCCTGAATGATAAAAATAAAAATTCCTGAGATTGGTCCACACAAATAAAGAAAAAATCTCTTCATCTTTGTAATCTCGGTATAGATAACATACATATATATACGTATAAAAAATATCTGTCAGGTAAATTAATAATAAAAATTAGATTAAAAATTTAAACCAATGAACTGAAAACATTTGATAACGTAAAATATGAATTGACCGCACAATAGAATAATGGTACAGTTAAATTTCAATTAAATTTGAAGTACGAATTGATACAACAATTTCGATACTTACAAACACAATTGGTTGGATATTGACCACAAATACAAGGATATAAATTAATAAGTGAAATTGTAGCTCTTGCGACTTTAATTCTGTGACGAGCGCTTAAACAATGCTATATATCTTGCAAATGTAATAAAAGCTCTATTCAAATAAAATAATTGACTAACAAATATTAATATATATTGCATATAATTTATATTAATATAATTTACCTACGAGTATAACCAGTACAAGTAAATCACCATTTTACTATTTCTTCGTAAACCAATAGAAAAATGTATAACATGATTATATGCCCATTATAAAACATAATTACACTATTTTATGGCCTCGTTCCTATTCAGTATTTATGTTTACACTAACGAGGTTCCAAAACTTCCTGAAAAAGAAATTACTTATGAGTATTTACGATATTTTTATAAGAAGCAGATTAATTTGTACATAAAATAAAAGTAAACAATTATCAAAACATACGAAATGGTTGTGATTATATATATACGTATTCTTAATCTAAATAACTTATTTTATATTTTTTCTAATATAATCTAATAATTTGTAATGTCAAAATAACAGCTAAATACATTACTTTTTGCTTAATGCATTTGAAATTATTTACGGAGCTTATAAGAATAATCACAATTTTTAAGGTTTTTGTCTGTCTTTTTTGACGTACTTATTTTGGATTTTGTCCAACCTCGTCACATCACCTGCCCATCGCAGCATTTTCATTTCGGCGACTTGCAAGTTTTGCTCTTCACATTTCCTTACCCCCCAAAACTCAGGTCCATATAACATTGCCGGCCTATCTGCTTGTTTATACATGGTGCCTTTAGTTCTGACTGGTATATTTGCGTCACAGAGGACCCCAGAGAGTGACCTCCACTTAAGCCAACCTGTTCCGATTCTGTTAGAGATATCATCCTCTCTGTGTTTGCTCTGGTGTTGACTGTAGATCGGAGGTACTTAAATTCTTCTACTTGGTTTAAGGAAGTGCCTTTGATAGTGGGAGCTGCTTGCGTGTTAGTTTTGCCACCAGAGAAACTGCAATGCAAGTATTCATTCGTTTTACGGCTAACTCGTAATCCGCCCATTTCCAAAGCCTTCAGCCATCTTTCTAGATTTTTTTTGGAATTCCGGCAGCGATTCTTCTATTGAGACCTCATCATCTGCACATAAAAGTGTCCATGGAGCCGTTTTTTGAAGGTCTTTCGTGATGTAATCCATATGTAATCCATTAAGTTGAAAAGCAGGGAATCCTTGGTACACACTGACCTCGACCTCTAAACTGTTACTAGTACCCGCTGGTGACATCACTCGCGTTGGTCGCTATTATACATGTCTTGTACGATATGGACATATTGCTCCGGCATCAGCTGGGCTCGAAGAGCTTGCCATGTCAGCTTGAGTGGTACTCGATCGAAGGCCTTTTCTAGGTCAATAAAGACAAAGTGGAGATCTTTTTTCTGGGCTTTATATTTATCCGTCAGTATTCTCACACAGTATATGGCGTCTGTGGTGCCTATTCCGGGAGTAAAACCGCACTGGTTAGACGTTATGGCGGAGAGGCAAAAGGTGTTGGAAATACTCATACCATCCGTTGTTAATTTTATTATCCGATGTTAGTGATTTTACTGATACATCGATGATACACTTATTTTGTTTCTGTCGTCTTTTCTGGATTTTCGTTTGTCTTTAGATACTCGTAGGACGCTTTGTGGACGAGGCTTACCTATATATACGTTTTATCTAGGCATTCGAAGGCAGGCTACGAGGACTCGATGTTGACTAGTAAGAGGTTCTCCAGGAATGACTTTACAATCTTTGAACATCGTGCGTATCGAAGAGTTACATAGCAAAAAGTCTATCTGAGACTGAGCTTTTCCACTCTTGTAAGTTATTAGGTGTTCACTTTCTTCTGGAAAAATGTGTTGACTATTGGCAAGTCGTGATTAATAGCGAGGTCTAAGATATCTTTTCCACGATTTAGAACCTTTCCATTTAATTTCTTGGATGCAGCATATATTTATACTACGCCTGTGTATCTCAGCCAGTTCTTGACTGCGTCCGGTCAGTGAACCAATGTTCCATGTCGCTATACGCATATAAGTAGCGGAGCGTTTTGATTCGCCGCTTTGGGGGGACGCCATAGCATATTTAGCAGGCTTCGCTCTGGAACTCTGACCGTCGCTTCCGGGGTACGCCCTAGTATTTATCGCTTCATTATGATGCACCTTCATATTATATTAGGAGAAAATTATTTGGCTATAAGTTTAATGCTCGGTTGATCTTCGGTTTTTCAAAGTTGATCTTCGTGATAGATTCTTCCGCTGCTGAATCTTCTGTCCGTTCCAGCCTAAACGCACAGCATGTCTACCGCCTCTACTCCGAATATGTCGAAGAAGTCTGAAGACGGGGTTTGATACCGAGTTTCCTTCTCCGGCCTGTGTGGTCCGCTAGAGGTATTTAATTTCCCTCCAGCCCCCCAGTCACCTCTTGCATAATGACTGATGAGCCCCCCCTATCCGCCACCTGGGAACGCGTTCTCTAGGGATGCAGACTTATAGGTATAATAAATAATGTCCCCTCGCCGTGATCGATTACGGCCACGGCGGCCAATCTCACTAGAGTGGCCAACTGCGCAAGAGATATTATAGTGCACAAGTGTACGCGCAGACACAACGTGCAATCTCTATGGTGTTGGGAAGTTGATTATAAAAGAAATAGATTCTTCTATAATCTTCTCCCCAACACAACTCTGTTACTAAGAATTTTTGATACACAGACAGAAATACTCAATAATTGAACTTCGCCCGACCCGGGATTCGAACCCAGGACCTTCCATGTGGAATTGTGGATCTGCGGCCGTACATGCTAACCACTAGACCAACGAGGCAGTTGATATGAGTATAATAAATAAAATAAATAAATAAAAATTTATGCTTAGACACTAACTTAAGAAGATGGCAGTGAACATCTGCGCTTAGTTTAATTAGCATATTTTAATTATTTAACTAACAGCCTCATTTGTATTTTTTCTAATATTTATAATTCTTATTATTTTGTATGCATTAACTAATTTTTAAATTTATTAGTTATTTTAATTGTCACAAATAGGGACTGTGTTAGCTCTTAAAATATAAAATAATACAGTACCGAGTACATAATTTACAATAGTTTTGTAATTTTCAGACTGTGACGGGCTATCATAGTTGTGGTAAAAATAGAGTATAAAATTGACTTTATGCCTACATCGAAACATTAAACAAGAGCTAGGCCACATAACAAAATAAATATTGCTGCCTTGCGTGTCTCATAGAGTATTTGTCACACTTCTACTGGCAGTTATACCATTACTACTTTACTCTATTACACTTTGTACCTCAATAATAATAATGAATTGTAATCGTAAGCTTATGTTACTTTTTAATGACTTAGATATTTTTTTGTTTTTTTTTAATGGTACTCAATAATAAACGGACAGACAGACCACATGATGGAAAGCGGATACCTGTCGCTTATAACACCTACGGTTCATGCACTTAGGTTTTACATAACAAAACTGCAGAACCGCCGCGCCGGTACGTTATCACTGTAAGGACTAAGACAATATGCCTCCCGCCTGTAATTGCGCTGGCTACCTTATCCTTCAAACCAGAACATAACAATGCAATGATTGTTGCTTGGCGAGAGAAATAGATAAGGGGGTGGTACCCATCCAGACGGACTCCTCAGGCTTGACAGAGTCCTACCACCGATGAAGATTTTGCAAGAGCTCAGTAGCATGCCATAGGAGAGACCTTTGTATGTCCAGCAATGGACGAAAGCAGGCTGAGAGGGATGATGGAGAGATATGTACAATGTACATACAAAATGTATGTACATAACTTATTTACTACTTTAACAATTCTATGTTTGAGAAGCGAAGCGTGTACTTCGCGGCAATTTAAAATCGGTTGACAAAAACAAATCTGAGCTACACAGGTTTTTAACAATAAAATAAAATGTATGTAAAAACCAGTCGTCCTACTTTTTAAAATAGGTCAAATAAAGTTTGAACGTACTTTTGGTACTCACCACCTGTAAATCGGCTCCGCTTTGAAGTTAGGCAAGTAAGCAAGAGCATGTAATTATTTCTCTACAGGTTTGCTAAAATGCCGTAAACCTGGATGCTCCAAGATCTAATAAAAATGCGAAAATATTCGAAAAATAAATCCGTCAAACGTTATCATGAAGTTATAATAGGATTATGACTTTAACTACAACGTTACATCCATAAAAACAATGTTACGCAATATGCCTTAACATTTCTCTACTTTATTATTAGGTACCAACGAGATATGATATACATGAAATATAAATTTAATTTACAACAAAAATAATAACGGTATCTACTTGGATAATATTCTGTTCAAATAAAGTTATTAAAATAAAATTACATACAATTTCCTATTATTTTTTGGTACATATCTGTATCAAAACTAATTGTATTAACAACAGCGTAAGTCACAGTCCTATACCTATTACAGCTCGTAATAAAGTCTATGGTGTGAATACCGTACTACGTAAAATAGGGTAAAAATTGATTGTCTGTCTCGATTTCGATCATATTTCGATTGCTAGGAATAAATTTTAATACGATTTCCATACCGGGTTACATGCATTTCCAGATGTACTACAACACAGACATCCTTTTAAACTACAGATTCAATACTATAGACTGAAAGGATCTGATATCGGCATATATAAGCATTTGGAAACATAAATATACTTACATATGTAATAAGTGAGTATGGACTCGCTTTGTGTGGTTGGATTTGAAATTTTATTAGCGTAATTGTTATTTGGAATGTCAGTTAAATTGTATCGTTAGTAGGAATAAATAAGTTACTAATACATCGTTATCGATTTTAAGTATTAGTACTAATAATAATTTATAATCTACGCACTAAAATTGCAAAGCGAATTTCAAGGGAGAATTGCAATCGATCTATGGGATAGTCAGAGGGAGTGGTACTCGAGGTATGAATACCGATTCCCCCGGAGCACATCTAGCAAATACAGTGGTTACTATAATTTTTTCATGAAGTGTTACTCGCATTCTAGTCCCGTTACATAGCTTAAGTGTCTTATGCATTACAGGTATTTCAACCTTCAGAAAGAGTTTGTGAGAAGGGAGGCTTGATGGGTTAACATTGTTAAGGAACTACACACGATAGTGAACTAATTCATTCATTTACATCACTGAGTCGACAGACCTATACGTATTTTTGTTCTGACCCCTCGATGACTTAGGTAACAAGTTATTAAAGCATTTGCTGGTATGGCACAAGTTCAGTATATCGGACGCGGCCTTTGAAGGAATGGTGCTATTTTTTCGTACAATATTTAAAACATTTTCTTTCGTACAAACCTTGTCCTGATAATTACGAACAAAACAAACAAGAATTAGCCAAATAGAGCAGAAATTCTAAAGTGATGAGGTTACATAAATACGGAAATTAATTTTTATTTATATAGAAGACGATACTGTTACCTAACAGTCTCAGTTAAAAATACAACTAAAATTATTATTTGAAATTGGTTGGAAAAATCCTAAAGAACATCTTAGGCTTTTTGGATCTATTTGATGTGAATACCTTAAAGCGGGGTTCATACTAAGTGGTTGTGGACTTGCTTCTTTGATGTAGATGTGTATAAAATCTGAATTTAAACTAAACTTTATTTATTTTACTTGCTTCTGTTCAAACGATATGTGTATAGAAAAAGATTTAATAGGGTCATAATTTGACCATAATATGTTAAATAAAATAAACTCTCGCGATTCTTGGTTGTGAAGTAAGTAGAAATACTCATACGGGGAGTTTTCACCTAGTTTTTAATTAAACCAGATATAATAAACAATACAAGCGTTCAATTAATTACATATTATTTAACGGTCCATTTGAATTTAAACGTGTTTCTTTGTTCATTTCAAATATCCGCCCGCATAAAGTATTGCTGTTGATTCTGTTTGTGGGTAGGATGCTTAATTACAGTCAGTTTTACAGAGTACATTTGTAAAATATTCTTTTATTAATGACAGCATAATTTATGTATAGTAAATTATTTATAACAACGGTTTTGTATATTATGTATAAATAAGGTTATTTCATAACTTACATAGATACCTATAATAGTAATTTAATACACAAATATTTTGAGCTTAAGTAATATGAGTAAATATGTAACAAAATACACTCGAGTAGTATCTTAAAATACCTACAAACGTTTATGTGTTAAAAACATTAGTACAAAGGTACCTCTATAAAATGTGAAAGAAACAGTAAGTTTTGTGTTATAGTTTCTCAGTCTTTATTGTATCACAGTCTTAATAGTGTATCTCTTTTCTAGCGTAACAATAAACAGAATGCGAAGATGCCGGTATCGGTACAGCATCCGTCATGCGCTGTCTGATGCTGAGTACTATTGAGTGCTTTAGCGAGAGCATGTCCTGCCATTATCTCGCGTTACTGCCCGCATTGTTTCTCAATCATCTATCGAGGAACATAAGCCCGAGCTTTCTACCTAATAGACATAAGGCAATATACCCATTTATTTTAATACGTCAATTGACAAGATAAAATATTTTCCTCTTATCATCTATACTTAAGAATACTAAGTGATTTAATACACGTTGCGCGACAAATGACACTGCAGCCACAATTGCTGTCGGCCTCAGAAGGAACTCTCACTGGAATTATCCTGATGTAAATCTGTGAAAAATGTTATTTAATGAATTAAATTACTATAAATGCACATAATATATATTTTCTATAAATAACTTTTACTCTACTTCTTTGGGGCCTGATGCCCCGCGTATTGAAGGGAGGCCCGCGCCCAGCAGTGGGACGTCAAAAAAGGGCTAAATACACCTTGTACTCTTGTGTAAATTCATGTATTATTATTTATTGTAATTAATGCCTACTTTATACTTGTACTTAGTAACAAAATAGTTACATACTTATTTTACACAGATTAATAACTTTAACTGTCTAATATTAATTTTATAATTTATTAAATATTATTTATTATATTTTTATTAAAATAATTAAATAATATGAATAAATTAAATTTGATTTTATAATTCTCATTATTATCATGAAATTTTTAACTATCTGAATTTAAATATCTTCATCTAATAGGATACAAACTTTTAGGATATTGTTACATATGAATTAATTGTATGTTATGAGTTATACAACTTACCGTATTTGTTTCAAAGAGTGGGGGGGCTGTACGTTCCCAACAGGCAGTTGTTGTCTTTATATTGACGGAGAATGGAGCGAGGAGTCATTTCTTTGATCCCTTCGGTTGGAAACCAGCGACAATCTATAATTAATTAATAGAGATATATGTTAAACTAATAATTTTTTTATTGATTTAAATTTTTATTAATAAAACATCAACAAATAAAGTATAAATAAATAATATCATATACGTTTACTTAGTGGACATATATGACTCAATTATATTTGTTTTAGTATAAAAGTTTTAATGCACTATGCCGCTCAGTTAATTACTTGTTGGCGTCAGATAAAGTGCTTTATTGACATCACTCTTAAATGGCAGTGGTATGCTAGCTATTAAGAGCCATTTTGAAATATTCCATTTATATTTCGAGCTGCGTCTGGAACTAACCAGCTATATATAAATAGGTGCCGTAGAGCATTCTGTATTATGATAATGAGTACAGATAAGCTGCTTTTGTATTAACATTCTATATAAAAAATATATTTTCTACGCATTAAAATGATAAAGAAATTTTTAATAACACTATCTTTTCTTTTTATATGCTATGCTTTACAGCAATCATGTGACCATGATTACTGTAAAGCATTCGAAACGTCAGGAACCAGAAATCAAAATAAATCCGCGACATAATCCGAAAAGATAGTTTTATTTAAAATGTCAAATATTCGCGTAAATCTAAGGAAGTATTATAAAAATCTTATATATATATTGTATTTTATTGTACAAAGTAGATACAAAGAAATTTATTCATCTGTAAAATAATTCACATGTTCGATACTTTATCAGATGATTTATTAATCGTATTTTAGTAAGCAACTCAGCTACGATGTATTTTTAGTTGTTTATACATACTTACTCGTAGGTTAAAGACAACCTAACTTCGGATCATAGACTAAAACGACTTTTAAATAGCGTGACCAACTTCGTCAGTTAATGTTGTCTAGTTCTACTAGATGGAGCTGTACGTAAGTACGTAAATGTAACATGTTATGTATTCGCGAGGAAAAGGATCGAGTGATTTTTAAAAAAATACTTTATTATAATTAATAAAAAAACTGAACAAAAATTATACTGAAATCTAAATCTATACATTATATAAAACATAGTCAGGTTTGTTACAACACTAGAACGGCTGAACCGATTTTTAGGATCTTTGATTTGTTGAATTTGTCTCCACCCCGAATAGCAGAATAACTATTAAAACATTGGAAAAATTCACGTTTTTTTTTATTTACATGGCTAACGCTGGCTAATACCTATTTATATTAATTTCAAACGTACCTCCTACTACCTAGGGACGAACCCGCTAGTACAGTATACATTTTTATATTAAAATGATTAAATAATATTAGGACTTTGCGATGCACGTGTCTTTTGAGTTAAAAGAACAGTAGGAATTCTCAAATAAAATTTATGACAAGCCTCATTTAGAATTTACCGTAACACTACATCACGATTATTAAAAATTCAAGCTCAACACGTGCTCTATTCACAATCGAGTAACCTAGTTATATAATTTGCAATAAATTTAATAAGAGACCAATTTATAATTATAGTACTTATTCAACATTAATAATAATCCTGTATAATTTAAATTAAATTTCATTTAAACATTAATAATAGTCACAAAAGTGTAGTCATTTATACTTTTTGCTATTTAAACTTTTATGTCATGATGTAGGAACTTTAATTATAAGTATCTTAAAATTATATAAAAAGTATCTTAAAATTATATACACAGCTTCGCTATACGAGTATAAATTAAAAATTAAGTGATCAATTAATGCAACTGTCTCTTTCTATTGAAAGGCATAAGAAACAAGAAATATACATAATAGCTTGCACTCAGAGTAGTGTTGACAGAAACGCCAGATGTACTTTTTATTTGGCACGTGGTTATTGAAAATTCATCTTATATTTTTTTACAATGAGCTCAACCAAACTAGCGAGCATTATAACGGTAGTGTGAAGTAAAATGTAAAAGTAACGCTCATTTTTTGTTATGTACGTCCGCACGTGATATTTATTATTGCAGATGTTATAGATTTTTTTTTATAGTTTCTACGAATAACTTTACAAATTCTCTATCTTTTCAAATATCGTTTTAATTGATAAGTTAATAGTGCATGGTATTTATATATCATGTTAATTGGTAATATTGGTAGAATTTTTATTGTAAATTAACTTTTAATATTTATTTTATGTAAACTTTAATTTTTAAAACACAGACATTTTAAAGAGTTTTTTTGGTAGATGGCTCTGGTAGAAGACACCGGCGCAGGCGCCGCTGCCGACGATCCTGAGGCACTACTCAACGAGTGGCTTGGCGAACTCACTGTTCTTACAGCGGTAAGTATTTTATTTATTATTGATTTTGATATTCAACAAGTAATCACTGTTGACATATGTTACGTAATCTAACAATAAGTATATACCTACATTTTAAATACATATACTCGTTCTGAAACTAGCTATAAATGTATTTTTAAAGAAACAGAAATAAAAAAAAAACTAAGAAATCATATGAATACAAAAACGGTCCTCAAAGATTGATAGCCGTGCACGTGTGGATGCAGCCGGCGGCGACCGAGCTAGTACGCGTGCGCATATGCCTCTTAGCATGATTTGCAGAGACCGCATTACAGTAGTATTTGTTGGTTATAGCGCATAATTTAATATCAACAATATATTTTATATAATAAGTTATTTTAAAAAATCTGAAAATATTATTACCTATTTATATATTTTTTATAAAAAAACATTTTTTATCTAAATATCAATAATAACTTTTTTTTAGCATATAGATGCGATATTATAAGTTTCAAGCTAAACAATTTTAATTTGGCTTTTGTAATATCGCAATAATGAATTTAAAACATAAATTTACTATACATATACGTCTCTACATTATCCTCTAACTTAATAAGTGTAATTAAGAATAATTTATAAAAGATATTTTCTGCAGAGCATGAGATTAAATTAAATCGTTAGATCTCAATTAATCCAAAAACTAATCGCCTTTCGGTCGTCGATACGGTATTAAAAGATTAATTAAGAGTGAACGCCAAGTACCTACTTACGTTTGTAATACTGAGTAAAAGTTTTTCATTTTATTTCTTGGATTTTCAACATTGCATTGATGCTATTTTCTCTTTCAATTGTCATCAGTTGTATCTTATTTCATATCTAGTTTTTCATTCTAGTAGCATTGGTACTGTTTATTCAAAACATTTCTGATAATAAATCTATAGCAATATATCTACGTTCAATTAATGATCATATAACATTCTCGTGTCACATTTCTTTTCTATGAAACCTGCGACCATCAGTAATGAGATACCTAATCAAACATAATATGCATTCTAAAAACTTTACAAAATTGACATTATTATTTACAATTGAACTATAAGTAGATTAAATAAAACTAGATTAACGTATAATAGGTATAGGTTTTACCTTTTGTCTTAAAAATTATTTTCCTTGCATGTTTAGAAATACAAAAATAACATTTTTCTAGTTAAAAACTAATTAACAATATAAATGAAAGATTGGAGTGCGAAGATTCGAGTATATTTATTGTTTCGGGGCTATTTGTATTAGCCCAGTAACAGAGTTGATACACTTCGTCGTCTATTGTGCTTCCGATATTTTATTATTATACAGTAATACGGATTCGTATGTTTTTTTTACTGTGCAAAATTGAATTAATTAGGTTAAGCTGTGGCACGTCCACAATGACCGTAATGCGTGTTACATTAGATTGACCTCATTTTTACGTGCTGTGGAACAGAGGCTCGGCTGGACATGTTTAACAAATTAACAACAGATGTTAGTTTAATTAAAAAATCTATAAACATAAAGATAAAATGCATAATTTACACACAATACCTTATCGAGTGATTGTTATCAGGACTTAAGTAATCAAATTAAAATGAAATTTTTATTTTCTTATAATTTCAAGAACACGTAAGTATATTTTCTTAAATCCAGGAAAATCGAGAATCAATGATATAACGATAGCGCATGCAACTTTATTTCAACACACTTTCACATAGAACATACACTACACACTTACTACTACAAATCAGGATACACTTGATCTTGACAAAATACAGATAAATAAAATTGTAGTGTCTATTTGTAATGCCAAAGAAACAGCTTTTTACTTAATGCATTTGAAATAATTATATAAGTTACTTTATAAGAAAAACACAATTTTTAAAAATTTCGTCTGTCTGTCTGCATGTTTCGGCTAATAAATAAATATAAATAAAATAAATATCTTGGGACATTTTTATTTTGGAAAAAGAATTTTGGTTCCGTTAAAAAAGATTAAAACGTAACTAGGGAAGCACCGGAGCGAAGCGAGGGTAAGTCGCTAGTAGCACAATAAAAAAACATGTAGGTATGGTAACAGAAATTAAAATCATAATTACAGATTCGGCTTAGTCGCAATTTTATATATATATATATATATATATATATATATATATATATATATATATTTTAACGAGTGTCTAACCACGTGTCTTTTGCATTAAAGCGCATAATCAAAAAATGGTAAATGCAATCGCCTACTTCGCTGCATTTTACAAACATCTGCTGCTGATACAAATCTCATTTAATGACACAGCCAGCTTGAGTGTGTAACACATTCTTGTCAATTTTAAGGCTTTGGCTTTTTATATTACCTACTTGTATTGTAAAATAGTAGAACCAATTTTCTCTTTATTATTTTTATGACTTCAAGTTTATTTTGATAAAATACTTAAATGTCTGTATTCAATATTATCTTTTACTTAAATTATGGTAGCTACACATTGTAATAAAAAACACATAGAAATAAAAAAGTTTTAGTTATTATAAGTAAAAGAAAAGAGGTCAAATTAATTTTTCAAACCGGATATAAAAGGAAATGAAATGAAAATATAAGCCCTTAAATATAATATGAAGATAAATATATGCTTCAATTTCCAAATGTTAGGCCTAGTATAGGCTTAAACAAATATTAACATAAAATGGACAGGTGGAAAACGGAATTAAATGAACATTTTACATGTTAAAAATAAAAACAGGTTTATTTTTAAGATTGTCAGTATGATGGAGCCAGATGCTTGGATAATATTTATGAATCTTAGTCCTATGCAGCTGGCGGTGCATCTGCTCCGCTACCGTACACACTACCTGATCGGAAACGAATTAATTAGCTTTAAAAATGGTGTTAAAGTCTGCATGTCTACATTTATGAAAGATCTCGGCCACACGTAATGTTGTTATTACCTTTAAGTATAGCTTGTAAGTAAACCGCAATGCTTAATTTTGAACATGAAAAGTACGTCATAAAATGTTGCTCTTATTTACGTTTATTGTATGTAATTATTTACATTACATTAAGCATAAATCTACTTAATTTATATGGAGGTCAGTAGTAGTTAAAATACGTGCATATGCTTTTATATTAGCGTATCTTGTAAAAACCATTTGGTCCGCGAAAGTTTCGATCCAAACATTTAAGTTTTTACACCTGATATGCGTAAAAATTTTGACTGATTACTCCGCTTATCGCCTCACATCACAACGTACTCGATTGCATAATTTAAGATTACACGATAGTATTACTACTATATTCTTAGTTTTTATTTTTCCGTCCATCCATCTGCCTCTTTTTAAAAGGTTTGAGTCGTAATAGGTAGACGTTTAATTTTTTTTTTCAGAATATGGCGTAAGTAAAAATTCCTAACAAGTAATCCCGTATGTTGTATAAACTAATATAAAATAAAATAATATTAAGTAATAAGAACCAAATCAGGTCCGCGTCTGTTTGATAGCAAAGAACTCGTAGTAAAATAATGAATTGGTTGCATAAAGGGAGTCTGTAGCGTATTAATATTGTTTAATATATTAATATATTACTTAATGATAAAGTAAAATTACTTTTCATAATTAGATCGTACTATTTGGAAAATGTTCCGCTTTAGCTGACACTTGCAGATTGTAATACAGTACGTTTTTCAATAATGTAATGTGTCAAAACAATGCTTACAAAAATGATTCTAATATATGTAATTAAAAAGTAATTTTAATTTATGGAGGTTATTTAAACAGTGAGTAAAATTATAGACATTAAGGCCTACAGACACATAGGCATGGGCCCATCTGTCCGGTACCGGATTGTACGGCAGGTGTACGCAATAGCCACCTGTCCTTCATTTTCGCCCATTTTTTGCTCGAAACCTGCGTGTATAGTAATATTACGCCGGAACTACCTACTATTGAATACAAACAACGTGCTTTACGGAGACTTTCACGGACAATGATATATGTATGTAATTAATCTACGGCTCTATTTCTAGTTCATTTTAGAATAACTAACGCATACCTTTAAATAAATATCTCATGAAATTCAAATGTATACACTTGTTAATTTCGTTAAAAAATAGATTGTGTCTTTTTAAGTTATTATCTTGAAAGCTTAAATAAATATCTACTCAAACATGACGACGTCAAATTCTGTCTGAAGTATCACAAACCGTTCATCGTCCGTTACTTGATTCAAACAAAGGTAGGTTTCTAAAGTGGAACGAATGCTAATAAAGCATCTGATCATTTATCACAACACAAACAGAAGGAATGTGCTTTGGAATGTTGTAGTCGAGAAACATTATGATAACAGCGTCATAAATTAGTGCATGTATTATACCTATTAACTAACTAATGCAACATGAATACAAATTGACAAAATATCACAATTTTCTGAAATTGTCGATTTCGATCGATCTATTTTTTGAAGTCAAATAGTTTGAAAATCCTGATATTATCTTAAAAAGTAAAGTTAATATGTACCCGTAATATGACGTTCATTAAAAAGTAATACATATTTGTTTTTAAAAAAATCAAAAACTTAGACAAATATAAAGAAACCCCCATTTTAATAGAATTATAGACTGAAATTTTTTCACGAAACGACCTTAATACAAATACATAGTTTTAAATAAAAATATCTTTTCGGATTTTTTCGCGGATTTATTTGGATTTTTGGTTCCCGACGCTTCGAATGCTTTACAGCATTCATGGTCACGGGAGAGACTGGGTGTTAGATGTCTCGAAGGTATAGTTGTTACAGACAGCCTACCCACAAATAACAAAATGAAAATTGCGCCAATTACCTAACAATATTTTTAAACTTTAAACATTATTATAATTTTAATTAGTTTTGTAATTGAATATGGATTATTATTTATTTAATGTTTGCTGATATTATTATAATTATTACAATTTTAAAAATATCAATAAGTAATCTATATTTAGTGCTGCCATTATTATATTTATAACCATAAAAAAATATATGA